TTCAGATTTTAAAAAATAAAACAAGGCATACATATTTGAATTATTTTTAGATATTGTAGCAAATTTATAAGAAAATTTTTGTAAAACTTTTATTGTGTTTTTTTTAATTATTTATTGTAAATTTGGAATCAATTAAAAATTTTAATTGAAGGATATGAGAGTTTTATTAAAACATATTCTTGGATATTTGAATTTTAGGATTAGTAAGGATTTTTGTAATTTTAAAAAATCCACTAATTCAATTGAAGCAAAAAATTTCAAGAGTATTTGAGACTTGATTATTTAAAAAAAAAAAATGGAAATTAAATAAATGATTTAATAAGGAGAAATTGTAGCTAAAAGATCAACATTTAGATTGGAGAAGAAAGACAACTAACATCTGTGAGTTTTAAGAGATTTTTCTCTCAATTGAAAAGTATAATTTTTTTTAAAATTAAATACTTATTAATTTCTTAAGAATTAATATATAAACACGATTTTAGTTATTGAGATTTTAAAACAACTATAGAAATTAATTAAGATTTATTTAGAATTTATTTAGGATTTACTTAAAATTTACTTGAATTTATTGAGATTTTTTTAGAATTTCAATAGGATTTTATTAAGATTATTTAGGATTTTTAGGACTATAATAGGATTTTATTAGGATTATATTAGGTTTTTATTTTTAATATTCTTTAGATTTTAGATTTTAGATTTTTTAAATTATTATTATTTTTTTATAATATTTATTTTAAATATTTATTTAGATTTATTACCATTATTTTAATATTAATTTATTGTTAATTTATATTTTTTATTAATTTCTTTCAAACTTCTTTTGAATTTTGTTAAAGTTTAATAAAAATTATTAAGGTTCAATCAAAACTTATTTAAGATTTTATTAGACTTGTTAAAACTTTGTTGTTGTAATTTTTTGTTTGTATTCTATAATTAGGTACTTGATATATTTTTAAGTAAGCATTTACATAATATGACATCAATTGGTGTAGTCAATATGCAACTTAATTGATTTTTTTATAAATAAGAAATTTTTAAAGTTTACAATAATCCAACTTATTACAAAGGTAGATGGGCTTGATATTGCAACAAAGTAACCATATCTTGTCACCAATCTAAAATTGATGTTATTCTTTGTAATATAAATTGATATTTATCTTTTGTTATTTTTTAATTTTCTTTAATTGAGACTTTATTATTGTATATAATTCTAATAAATAATTTAAAAAATCTTTTGTTACTATATTATTAGTTTTTTAAAAGTAAAAAAGTGAAAATTTATAGATGATGATTATAATTAATATAAAGATGTTTATTGAATAGAAAAATATATTGAATTATTATAAGCAAACTTTGTCAATGGTAAAAAAATTGTTCAATCACCTTATTGGTAGTTAATGGTACATGTCAAATATTGCTCTAAAACTTCATATAATTGTTTTGTTTGTCCATTAGTTTGAGGATGAAAAGCCAAAGATAGTTTCATTTCTACCCTCAATATCTTAAAAAAAGAAAAATAATAACCTTCATATACATTCAATTTTTCTAATTGAGATTATATTCTTTGGTAATCCAAGATAGTAATATATGTTATCAAGAAAAGATTTAGTTGTTTCTTTACTTGTGATAGATTTTATACATGATACAAAATATGCCATCTTAATAAAAAAAATTCTACTATCATGTACATATAGTCATTTGAGATTATAAGATCCATGATAAAAATCTTTAGATATAGAAGACCATGATTGCTCTAGTATAAGCAATGATAAAAAAAGTTCAAAAGGCCAATGACAAAGAATTTCAATCTTGAAGAAACATTACATGATTGTACAAAGTGTTTAACTACCATTTTAATTTGAAGCCACCAAAAATCTTAGGATATTAACTCAAAGATCTTATTATATCCAAAATATCTTACAGTTGGAAAGTCATGACAAGCTTAAAAAATTCATATTTGTTCTGGACCTTTTGGCCGAGTTCTTAAGTTACAAATCACCTACAAATATATATAAAGTCAAATCATTGTTTATAAAGCTTCTAAGATATTATTAAATTTATTTGAATTTATCTTTTATTTTGTACTTTTTATTTAAGTAATTAGGTATATTTGTCATAATAATACAATAAAAAAAAGATATCTAATATTACTTAAGACAAATAGAAGAAAGAATTTAAAAGCAAAGAAAATTTAGAAAAAAATATTAGTTTAGAAGTGAATAATCCACAACTTCAAATATGCTCATGTCTTATCAAAAAATAATCTATTCTTAATTAAAAAAGATGAATCTCTAATATTATAAATATAGGCTTATGAATATGTATAGGAAAAAACTCAAAGAATGTATATAAATATGTGAGATATATATCAAAAAAAGATGATAAATAAGAATAATAATAATAATAATAATAATAATAAGTATGTATAATTAAAAAGAAATTAATATGTCTATTGCAAAAGACTAAAAAACTAAAGACTCTTAAATTGAAATAAAAGTAAGAAATGAATTGAGAAGAGTGAACAAGGCCTCATTCTTGGCTCTATGTATACTATCTAACTACGAGTTACATGACAATGTTCTTTAAGACCTTTGACATGTGTTCCACTTGCGGGATGTATGTCTAACTTGTAAGATAAGTTTCCTATATATGAGCCATATTGCCAACTTGTATTACAAGTGGTTAATATGTACAATACATGGTTAATTTATTTGCTATGTTTTCAACTGATCAATCACCTATAAATATGTTTAAAGTCAAATCCATCTCTATAAAATTCCTAAGAAGTTTCTCTACAACATATTATAAAACTACCTACTTTTATTTACTTCTATATAATTTTATTATCTATATAATTATTAGAGTAAATAGGTATGTCTATGACATAATATTTTATAACATATTTAATACATGATGTATGATTTTTTATTTATCATATTTTGGTTTGTATTTCTTTATACTAATTTACTTCAATTCTATATCTTCTACTAATTTACTTCAATTCTATTAATATAGTAATGCAAGTTATTCAAAAAAAAAATTGAAAAATAAAATAAAATAATTTAAATTAACTTTTAAACATTTATCTAATTTCAGCTCATTACTTTTAGATTGGCCTTTTAATAAACTAATTGTAGATCCACATTCAAGTATAGAACTTAAATTTATAATTGTGGCAATAATTCTAAAAGATTTAATGTAGCCACAAACTCTTCTAAACAAAATTAAAAATCGCATATTATTACCAAATATAATATATTAAAATAAATGATTAGATATTGTTATGACTAATAATTTATATTTTTTAAAATATAATAATATTATAATATATATCTATAAATAAAGTAAAAGTTGATAAACTAATAAAATAATTCACAAAATTATATTAGTAATTTAATTATTATTAAAAATATTAAAAAAATAGTGATAACTAAAAGGTGCTAAAGTCACTACTCATCTAGTGTAAAAATATATTTTTTACTATCAAAATTAAAAAATCATAAAAAATTCTATTATAAATTTATACTTTTTTATTTGTAAAGAAATACATGTTTATTCACAACCTATTAAATACTATCTCATTATTAATATCTTATTTTTTATTATTTTTTTACTCAGGATGAAATATAATTCTATTCTAATACATTCAAAATTTATTACAAAAATATTTTGTAGCATCCATAAAACAATTTGATAAAAATAATTTTTAGATTATTATTGCCATAGAAGACCTTTATTAATATTCTTGTTCATGTTTTAGAGAAAAATAATGTCTTCATTGATATTTATTGATTGTTGTAATTTTTATTAAATCAAAAAGTTTTTAATAACTTGACAAAATCAAATTTTACACCATAACAACTTTATAGAGAGTTTTAATTTAGTGCAAATCATAGGTTGAAAAAAGAAGAAAGACAATTAAATAAATAAATAAATAAATAAATAATTTAAGAAAGAAAAAAAACTATATATACTTCTCAAATATCCTAAAATATCAAGAATATCCTTACATTTTTTATCATAGCAAATGTATCCCTTACAATGATATTCTATCATATACAAAGAATACATTTTCTATTATCAAGAATGCAAGGGTATTCTTAATACTTTAGAATATTTGAGGGATATATATTAAATATTTCCTAGATAATATAAAAATTTGAAGTTAATCAACAAAATATTAAATTCTAATTAAAAAAATACCGAATTTATTAGAGCAACAAATTTGTAATTTTTTATGTATGAAATATACTATGCCCATAGCAGCTAAATATTCTTTCGTAGTTAGCAATAAATTCTTTAATAATACCCAATTAAAAAATTATATTTGTAAAATTTCTTGTACATATTTTTCTTGCCCATTAAATTAATGTTGAATTTTTTGATTCTATATCAACTACAAAAAGGCTTGGAATACATGCAAAAAATATATTGTTGATTTTGCTTTTACCAACCAAACTATATAGATATATATATATATATATATATATATACTAACATTTATATTTAATTTCTATATAATTGATTAGAATAAAAGATTTTTTTTATATATACCTTAAAATATCATGAATACCCTATCATTCTTGATAATAGCAAATGTTCCCCTTGTATATGATAGGATATTACTATAAGAGATATATTTGCTATTATCCAAAATACAAGGAGTACATTTTTTATCATCAAGAATATAGGAGTATTCTTGATATATCAGGATATTTGAAGCACATATATATATATATATATATATATATATGTCCTTTAAAAAATCCCAAAAACATTTTGAATATACATTTGTATTTGATGTATTCAAAACTAATAGTATAAATAAATTATAATTATAAAAGTCATATGTATTTAAATATTTATATGTGCATCAATAGTTCTAAATGATGCTTTTGGTTATGTTATGTCTAATGAAAGTTTGTTGACGAAATTACTAAAAAATCGAAGTTACTCCCATAGGTACAATAATTCCAAAAAATGACATGCAACATCTGATATGATTTTTGGTTGAGGACTGCATTCACACGAGAAAGAAGAGGGGGTTATGTTCACACGGGCAAGGGGTGCAGGGGAGACGGAGGATGGGAGGCACAAGCGCAGAGCCAACAGGGAGCAAGCAAAAGCGGGCCGGGATGCCGCCAGAGGAGAGTGACGATAGGCTTGCAATGGCCCTCGCAGCCCCAGCTCCAGATTCTCTGGATAAGGATTGGGGCGCGCTCTCTAGCTCACTCGCCGGTCTTCATCTCTCCGCTCCGGCTCCCAAATCCCCCTCACCATCAAACATTCCCCCTGCATTCCCCACCCTTCGTCGATTGTTGCAATTTCCTCATCTCCTGGTGGTCTAGCTCGTCAGCTATGGCGTCCGTCACCATGGCAGCTGCAGCCATCGCGCCTGTAGGCCTCGCTGCCAACCTCGACTTGAGCTCCCGGGCGGCGATCTCTGGCACCCGCACCTCCATGTTCGTGAAGAACACCAAGGCCAGGACTGTGTGCTCTGCATCCGCCGACGAAACCGCTACCGTCGCACAGACCGCGGGGAAATTCGCCACCGCCTTGGCTCTTGCCGCTATCGTCGGCGGGAGTGACATGGTTGTGCCCGAGGCGAGGGCTGATGTCGCTGGGTTGACGCCTTGCAAGGAGAGCAAGGGATTCGCCAAGCGACAGAAGCAGGAGATTAAGAAGTTGGAGAGCAGGTTGAAGCTGTATGCCCCCGACAGCGCCCCTGCATTGGCTATCAATGCTACCATTGAGAAGACCAAGAGGAGGTTCGAGTTCTACGGTAAACAGGGATTGTTATGCGGAACCGACGGGCTTCCTCACTTGATTGTGGACGGTGATCAGGCGCATCTAGGCGAGTTCGTGTACCCCGGACTTGTGTTCTTGTACATTGCCGGATGGATTGGATGGGTTGGCAGGGCTTACTTGATCGACGTGAGGACCTCGAAGAAGCCTACCGAGAAGGAGATCATCATCGATGTGCCCCTTGCGCTTAGGGTCATGTCCAAGGGCTTCACATGGCCCCTGGCTGCCATTGGTGAGCTGAGGAGCGGCAAGTTGGTGGAAAAGAGCGGCAACATCACAGTCTCTCCCAGATAAACTCTTGTATGATCCTCCTTGTATCTGTGTTTTATGTTCAATAAACCACGACGTTTGTAGCAAATGTTCTCGCATTTGTCTTTCGTTTTGTCGTTGACATCGTGATGAGCATATGGTGTCTGTTAGCCTCGCATGTCCATTCCGTCCTCGAAATGTGTACTGGAAACCGGTTTCTGCTCCTACTGTGCTTAATCTTCCTATTTGCAATTCACGCTATGGTTAACCGATTACTCAAAACTGTTTTGTAACATTGACAGATTCTAACATTAACAGCGAATGCAAGAGTGATTCTGGAAATACCTGCACATCCTGTTGATATTGTGTACACTGATGCGCCTTTTTGCATGTCTCTTTGGTTTCACTTCGAGTTGCTTCTGTCGTCCTCAATGTCATTTTGTGGAACATAATTGTATGCATTTGTAGTGCTTTTTATGGCTTTGCCGTAGGTTTTGTGAACTCCAGTCTGTATGTGTTTCTGAGGTCGGAGCATACTGAAGAAAATGCATCTCGTTTTTAACTGAATGCATTGAATTCTGTGGAAATGACTAGCAATTTCCCCACGGGCATGATATATTTAGTCGTGCATGTGATTATGCGTGTGCTGGTGTTGTACCCTAAAAAGTAATATGTGGATACCGTGAAAAATAACTATTACTAGTTTCTTTAATTTTAAATTCAAGACTAGAGAACTTTAAAATGTATATTTGCTATTTTTTTCTGTGAAAATCTCACTTAAATTGGTGACCTGTAAGTCAAAAACACTTTTTAATGATATAATTGGCAACGTAAGATTAATAAATATAAACTAACTACTAGTAACAATCTTAGTCAAGAAGAATACAATAAGATGGACTAAGACCATTTTTTCATTTCTTTTATGATTTATTTAAGAAACAGATGAAAAATGATTATATAGAAAGGTCAGTTTAATGTCAAGATTAAAATTCGTGATATTTCAAGTATATAATTTTATCTTATAGATTTATAAATATATTTTAGAATAAATAACCTTAGCTATTTAAATTCATTTTTTAAAAGTAGTGACAAGAGAATCTAAGTGTTTTTTTCTTTCATTTGCATGAATAATTATGTACATTTGTTGTATCTCACATATAGGTTTAAATGTTACTAAAATTTGTCTAGTTTATGTTTATTATTAGTGGATTAGACATTTAAAGTATCTTCTTGAAGAAAACACTATAAAACGCACATTTCTGTGTTTGTTATTATTTTGCTTCTTCTAATAACATTGCATGTAGAGCTTTGTGTGAAGAACCTAACCACAAAATTTTCTGTTCTAAATTAAAATATTTTTTATTTCAAATAGATACAATTTTATAAAAATAATTAATGCAATAACTTAGAGCTTATTTTATAATCTACTTAATAAAGCAACTTGAATACATTACAAAATAACAAACATTGTTTTATGATAAGACTAAAAGAATATAAAAGAAAGACAAATCATAAGTCATAGAGTTCAAGTAAATACATAAATAAATAAATAAATAAATAAATAAATCTAAATAACAATCTTTTGAAAGCCTTATATAGTATTAACTTTAATAGTTTAATAAAAAAAAAAGAGAAAAATGATAAGAAACTCAATACTTGTGAATTAGATTTTCTTGTTGATTTAGAATATATTTTTTTTTTTTTTTTTTTTTTTTTGGATAATACATGCAACTATTCGAAAGAACATTTCAAGTAATATCTTCAATACAAAATTTTAAAACATGAGTGTATACTGATAGATGCAAATATTTTAGGCTATTGAAATCTAATAGACAAGAATTACAATTTTCAATGTATATGGAAAATAACTGTGTTAGAAGGAAAAGGGAATTAATGTGAAAATTGATCATTGTAAAATACCATATTTATCATATACTGTGATATTTACTATAAAACTATAAGATAGTTATTTTTGTTTTTAATTTTTAATTTTAAAAATTATCTTTATAATTTACCTGTAGCAAAAAGCGAAAATAACTATACTGTTGTATTCTTTTCAAATAACATGACAATGTTGTCCTTAGAATGTACAATGGGCCCACCTCAAGACAAAAGAATACAAATATTTAAAGATCTGTACAATAATAATTATTATTATTATTAACATATAAAAATTGATCATAATTGTTGGCATTAATATATAAAGTGACATGTTCAAACACGTAACAATCAATTCCTTTATTGTATTTCATGATTTCTTTTCACTTTATGAAGACGCCTTTCATTTTGTGTGGTTTATATGTTGGGGGATTGATGAAAAGATCCTTCAATAGTTAATTTCACAATCTCAACCAAGGAAAAAATGGGTATTAAACTGTATTTGTATCAAATTGACAGTAGAGAAACTTAGAATATTGAAAATAATAATGATACAAATAAAAATTAAGCTACTGGCATCTGTCATCAACACAAAATATAAGCGGATTGAAAATTGTACTAAAGAATAAAAATGAAATGACTGTCATTTGGTAGCTTGCACAAATAAGAACAAGATGAAAGTTACCATCAGTTTCATCAACACTATTTTTGGGTAATGTAGGTGTTGTGATTTTTTAAATTTAATTTTCATAACTTTAACATGTTCATTTGAAATTTAATATTTTTTCATTGCATATATATTCACTCACACATACATGCACACTTTTAATTTTACTTTCTTAAAATATATAATTTTTCTTCTTAATACTTAGAATGAAGTATGGATAATTTCTCTGTATGATCTTTGTGGAGCATTTTAGAAGATTTTTTTTATCCATGTTAAAAAAGATGTCACGTAGTTTTGTTTTATTATTACTTTGAATAATTTTATACAAATAAAAAGTCTCTCAGTCTTTTGTTTTCAATTGCCTTAAAAAGTCAAATCCTTAACTACAATAATTGTAAATTTGTAAAAATTCATGGATTCTGTAGTTTTAAAATTAATTCATGTTTTCGAACAAGTTAAAAATAAAACTTCATAATTTTTTCAGATTGTAACCTTTTTTTTAATGTGATATGAGAAAAATACAAGTCTTAGTGATTTACAAGGAATCTCATAGTATGCAATCAAATGACAAATAAATCCTAGAATTTATTGAATTTTTCCAAAAGAAAATATCATGTCAAACAATTTTTATTAATTATTTTCAAAAAATATTTATAAGAAAATAGAAAAATTAAAGTGTAAATATAATTTTAAAGAAAATTTCTAACATTTAAATTTGTATAAGTGGTTTTAGATTAAAATCTGATTAATTGGGAAATTTATTACTTCTTTTTAGAAATCATAATCTTTAATTTACACAATTAATTTATACAATTATAAAGATGTTTTAAAATGATTGTGTAAGTGGTTAGTACTTTGTTATTAAATTGTTTCCTAATATTACTTTCGATTTTGTTTGCTGTTCAAACTATCACAAACTTACTGATCATGTAGACAAACTTAGAGAATGACGAAATAATGATATAACACATTCAAACACAAATTTTAAAAAATATATCATTATATATATATATCACATCAGTATTACTACACTTCGTGGGAAAAAAAAACAATTAAAGCATAAAAGTTGATGCTGATTTAGAATCCCCAACCTGCAAGCACTGAACTTAAAATTTGATACTTCTCTTAAATTTAAAGACATAGTCAAAACAATCAAAATAAACAATAAATTTATGGTAACAAAAGACCATTTATCCCTTTTTTCTTTTTCTAAAAAAATTATTCAACACTTAACATGTTAGTATTTTTTTGTAGAAAATATTCACATATATATTCTATAAACTAAATATAAACTTATATTTTTATAAATTTCATAAAAGAAAAATTATTTTTTAAATAGATGCTATTTTAAAATCTTGTATTATTTTAATATGTTTTGTTTTGTTTGAAAATGCATTGAATACTTGGCTATGGAAGATAAACTTATATTTTGTAACTAAAAAAAAACATGATAGCTCTATTAAAACCTAAAATAAACTTCTAATTGAAACTAAAAAATCCTAATTTAATTATCAACTTACAAAAAATCATTTTAATCCAATTGGCAAATTGCTCAAAATCATAGAAACTCTCACCAATCTTTAGGTTCTATTAATCAAGATCCTAACCCACTTGAATTTCAACAACTTTTGATATAATTATCTAAATGAAATTAGGTTCACAATAAACTTCCGACACAACCATGCACACAAATTTTAAAAAACTTCTTTATAAATCTGCTACAAATCCCACAAAATGCTTTAAAATGTAAAGTCTTGTTTAATTTCATAAAACCCAAAGTCACCAAAAACCTTAATTTTTACAAAATTATCACAAAGTCGTTATCCACTCAAATCTTTTAAAACTAACATTCAAGAAAACCTTATCAATTTTCCCTTCAATTCTATGTTCCAATCAACAAAAAAAATCCATAATTACCATAGGGGCACAATCTTGCATTTTGGGATCTAGTTTTGATTGTAGTTCACAACTGCTCTTCCTTAGGTATCAATCCAAGGGTTCTTTAAGGATTATTATTTTTATTGAAAGTTTTTTTTTTTTTTTTTTTTTTTTTTAAATTATTATTTTATTATTTTTTTAATCTAAAAATGCCCATAATATTATTTTTGCTAATTCACATTAATTTTTGATGTTTATAGTCCTATAAGTAAATAGAAATATTTTTTATTAAAAATTAAACATTAATTTTTTATTTTATATTATTACCTCCCTACTTTTTACTTATGTATTTCTAAAGTAATTTTTCACTATAATTTTTAATTAAGCTCTTCTATGGTATCATCTTTATTTTTTTCTTTTAGCTAATATGACTGTTATAACACAATAATACTAAACCCATGTTTAAAAAATGAATATGCATTTTATTATTTAATAATTTTATAAATAAATAAATAAATAAATATTTAATATTTTTTAAATGTAAAAATTAAAATAAAATATTAAATTAATCTTATATTATTTTTTAAAAGGAAATGATTTAATTAAATAAGAATAATATATTTAAAAAGGTGATTTATTATATATATATATATATATAATATATATATTATTTTTTAAAAAATAAGTTTTTATTTCAAATATAACTTAAAATAATTTAAAATATGTAGTATAATCAGTGAATGATTATTTAAGTTCCAACAATATTATTTTAAAAATTTAAATATTCCTACTATTTATTGAATATTATTATAATTATGTTAATAATAATATTTTTTAGTAATTTGATAAATAAAAGATATATTAATATCATATTTTTTTTCAATTTAGACTTGAATTAAATTAAAAATATATTTTGAGTATAATTTAAACATGTTTTTTAGAAATATTTTATATTAAAAATAAAACAAAAATAAATTTTTTAAAAAAAACTTTGAACTTATAGAGTTCTTTGATTGCGATTTTCAATAGTTTTAGTTTAAAATTATAAATTAAAAACAAGAATTACATAATATTTATATATGTCAATTATTACATTTTTTTGAAAACTATAAAATCAATATTATTTATTGTAGAAGAAAATTACAATATTCTTTAGAATATAAAATCAATCAATAAGTGACAATAAAATTGTGTATTAAGTAATATTGTCCAAAATAATTATAATTTTGGATTTTTGTATCTAATTATATCTAATTTCTTTTAGAAAATTCAAATCTCAGAAAGAATAATTAATTTTTTACTTATTTAATTTGCTTCCATTATTAAAGTTATTAAATGTAATAAAGGATATATATATATATATATATATATATATATATATATATATATATATATATATATTTTTTTAATATATATTTTTTCTTTTTTTGGTGAAAATAAAACATGAAAAATATAAAAAGTAATTAATCCAAAAAAATTCATTATATTAGTAACATAAGAGACCTAATTACATTTATACAATAAAAACAGGTTTGTACTTAGAAGTGGTTTTATTTTTAATTGATTAATATCCAATTTGGCAAAGTAATAGAAAATAAGAGTATAAATTGCTTATCTCCCTCTCATCTAAGATAACGTTGTAAAATTAGAATGAAACTAATTTAAATTTTATAATCATTGGAAGGATTTTCAAAATTTTAGAAAGTAATCACAAATTTATTAAGTCTACTATATGAGTTAATTTGATGCATTTTCTTGGATCATCTTTTGTAAGCATAAAATACACTTGTTAGGAAATTCTAATCAAAGTTGGTGTTATTTTGAGAATTTGTTTTTAAAAATCAGTGTAGCAAATGGGATAAGTTAGGAATAATAAATATATTTTAGAAATAATCTATGTAGATCTCTAAGAGAGATGATTAACAGAAGCAATTGTAGTAGTTTGAAATAAAAAGGTTTAGATAGAGAATTGTATATGTTTATAAAAGAATTGTAGAAGATAAGTCATGAGAAATTTTTCTTTGTTTTGACTAATTTCTTCTTATTTAAATTAAATCTGAAATTTATAAGAAGTGATTAAAATCCAATTTCAAAATTATAGTCTTCTTTATATTTTTTTAAAAATTCTCTTTATATATATTTTTAATTCTTTACAAAATTTTTTAATAAAAAATTATATTATTATTATCTTCTATAGTTTTTTTAAACATAAAAACCACTAGTTTAATTTGGTCATCTAATAAACTAAATGGCATGACTTTTTTTTACTTCTAATTGGTAATAATCTAATCTTCATGTGTTTAAATTTAACAGCATTAGTTTTTTTCTACTTGTAGTTAAAAAAATAAAAACTAATTTTATAGTAAAATTTTATATTCCATATCATTAAATTTATTATTCTGGCATAGATTTTAATATCTTTGAAGATGAATTATTTAATTGGAAAATAAAAAAAGAGGATAAATTATCCTTAGTATTAGAAAAACTATAAATTTTATAATAGATTTAATAATATATTATTGGACTGTTTTATCACTTACCAAATAAGATATAAATATGCTATAAGGGTGTTGTGTCTACTCTAATTTTAGATCATTATAAGATCAACTTTAAACAATAGAAAATTTTGTTACTTAACACTTGTATATGCATAATATTAACACAAATATCTCTACATTTGATTTCATTTTTTTTCCATTTATAATTCTTAAAAAATCATGATTTATCTATTGATTATTTTTTTTGAAAAATTAATAGATACTTATCCATCAAATATATTTTACAATAAAAAAAGCTAAATAAAATTTAAAATCTTCAAATGATATTGGTTTTATCAACATACCCTTTACATTTATTTTTGTGTCTATCTTCTATAAAAAATCTCATCATTATTAATCACATTCTACATGCAATATTTTCAAACTTTTCACTAATTGTATTGCACTTTTACTATCATAATGTAATGAAGTCTCTATCAATGTAATTATTTTTTTATTTTTTTTATTTATTTTTTATTTATTTTGTTATTAAGTCTTTTTAACTATACTGAAATATTATTTGAATTTGTAACAACCACCAATTCTTCCTCTACAATTAAAAGTCTTGTAGTAGATTTAAAAACAAATTTCTCACATATACATTTATCAACTATTATGTAGATATATTATATGGTAGATCTTCTTTTGCTTTTTTTCTTAGCAAAAATAATATTAAAAGATCATGTGATATTTTCTAATTTATTATGCTTTGTCTTAAATTTGATGTAAGTGTGTCTAATTGATTTTAAATTATATATTTTTCTACTTTATTATTTTTTAACTTTGTTTTGGATCTATTGTGTATGTGTTGCATATAGTGACAATATATGAGATATATAATATATTGCATTCTATTCAATGTATAATAGATTGCACTTACAATTAAAGTATTACATATGTACTTTTTTTTATCTCTAATATTAAGCTATTACATTAAAGATAGTTCAAAATAAGATTTTAGAATTTTGTAGAAAACCAAAATTTTCCCAACATAGAAATACCACCAACTTCATTTGCAAAATTGTGCTTTTGACAACCCTTTTCAAGAAACTTAGAAAGTCTCTTTGTCCTCTTCCTCCATTTGTTGTGATTGTTTTTTATGATTTGCAAAGTTTGATGCACAAGGGATAAATGTTGTTCAATGGAGAGCAGGGGACAAAAAGAGGGAGAGAGGGGGATTAGGAATGAGGAACAAGGAATTGGAGATTAAGAACATGAGACAAAGATGGGAGATAGATGGAACTAATTATTGAATGACAAGGGATGGTGTGGCTTTAACAAAATTAGGATGTGGCTTTAATGACTTCCTTTATTTATTAAAATAAATAAATTTAATATAATAGCTGATCAATAGATGGCTATAATATTGTTTGCATTAATCAAATTATAATAAATATTAATTTTTAATAAATATAATTATATTCAAATGATAATACAAGTTATAAATGTATAAATGAGTTGTGATTATAATCTTGAATTTTCATCAAAACTTTTATTAAAAATATTATTAGCAAATAAAAAAAATTGTAACAATTATTTCAACAAGCTAAAAAATCACGTAAATTAAAAATATTTAAAAATAATTGATATGATAATTGATATTTTAATTAGCATATAAAGAATTGCAAAAAGAAATAGAATTACAAGTGATGTTTAAAGAAGATGAAGACTAATCAATACAGCTAAATATGATTGAATCATTGAAAAATATTCTAAAAATAGATATCTACTTATTATATATATATATATATATATATATATATTGATATACTGTACTCCTGTGTGAATGAAATAGCTATTTTACTTCATGCATTGAAGTGAATATACAGAATTTAACCATGTCCTATAGACCTCTTTGATAAAATTTCTAACAGAGTTAATCTTCCAAAATTTAAAACACCAAAACAATTTATTGATAAAAACAGAATCACAGTCTCATAGCATTTGCAAACATAAGGAAGTAACAATCAAGATTAAATTATGTGATAGAAAACTTTAAAATAAAACAACAAAGGTATAAAACTTTTAAACATTAATACATTAAAGCAAAGAATGTCCAGTTATTCCTCCCTGTAAACTGTGCAGTACACCACAAGCAAACTTTACTACTGAATTATTCCAACTTCCAAGTATCCTTGCAACTTCCCAGCTCTCTTTTAGTGTAGGGGCAGACTATCGGGACAACTTTGACTAACTTAGATTGTAAAATACATTATCAAGTCCAACTTGTTGAGAGGTAATCCGGCTTACTTGAGATGCACATTGTTTCAAAGATGAAACAAAATAGTTCCACAACATTAAACGTCTCTTGTCATGTTTCGGATAAACAAGGGTGCAAATTGTCTCGACACATTGTGATCTCAAAAAACATTGACACATTAAGAATAAAGAATATTATCCAACTGATTGAAACAGTTCTAATAAGTTCCTCCCAGGTGGCTCTTCGTCTTACAGGCAAGCAAGCAGGGATTTTCTCGTGATAACGAAATGACGGCATATTTATAATGTTATCTAATTATACTACAGTGCACAGTTTAAAAACTATGGTTGTAAATCAGACCATAGAATGAATTCCACTACCACGCAATGCGTGCTTCTAGAGGAAATTTCCACTACATGACTTTTTGGAACAAAAGGTAGTCAAAGATAAACACAACTAGGGGTTGAGCAGGCGTTAACACGGTGACGTATGAATGAGCAATCCCATTTGCTTCAACAGTGGCTTCCATAAAGTTCCACAAACAGTGGTTATCATTCGAACAGAAGCCTGAAGAAGTAAAAGGGTGGGAATAGTGGAAGGGACAAGCATAAGTGCGAGAAGTCTGAATAAATTGTAATTGTAGTGTGATTATTGCGATTGTTGTGCAGTACAGCACGCCAGCATTGACACAATCTGCCCCTCCTGCCTACTGGAACCCTTCCTCTTTACAACGTCTCCGCATCAATCACACAGAAGCTCTTCTGCATGCATCGTCCAGCTTTGTACAGCCACCGCGGGCACTCCACACACAACTCCTGACTCACTCTCGGCAATACCCCCATCCCCGAGCCAACTACCGACAATCGCCTACCTTATCAAACGTATCCCTACCCAGCAATCAAGTCACCATTCGTCATCGCTGCCTCCCAACAGCCCTTCCTGTACCAAACCAATATCCCTTCCCTGACACTCTCCCATTTACTTGCTTTCCGTGGGGTTCCACAAGATGGTCGTGTACGCCACCAGTCCCGTCACCACGTATGGATCCATGTTCGACGCCGGCCGCCTGTCCTCGAAGTATCCCTTCCCTTCCTTCTCCGTGTCGCGCCCCACTCGCACTGATGCCCCCCTGTTCGCCACTCCCCACGAGAACGACTTCATGTCCGCAGTCTCGTGCTTGCCCGTCAACCTCCTCTCGTTGCCCTCGCCGTATGATGCGATATGCTCCTTGTGCCTCAACCCCAGCTTCTCGATGGCCTTCTTGATTACCTCGTATCCTCCATCCGCGCGCATCGACTTCGTGCTGTTCCCCACACCCCCGTGCCACACCCTCAGTCACGCCAATCCACGCCACCAACCAGTCCGATCCACCTCACCCACCCACTCACACATACTCTCACACACACTCACACTCATGCCAAACACAAACACCTCCCACCAATGCAACCAACTTCACCGCGACTCACCGCACCACATGCAAATGCAAAACCCACCTGTAGTTGGTGTGGCACCCAGCACCGTTCCAGTCTCCGTCGATGGGCTTGGGGTCCAGCGACAGCACCACTCCTGCGATCTCCGTGATCCTCTCCAGAATGTACCGCGCTGCCCACAACTGGTCAGCCGCCGCAATGCCCTTCGCGGGGCCCACCTGAAACTCCCACTGCCCAGGCATCACCTCGCCATTGATGCCGCTGATCTGGATCCCGGCGTACAGACAGGCCTTGTAGTGGGCGTTCACGATGTCACGGCCCCAGGCCTTGTCAGCTCCGGTGCCGCAGTAGTAAGGCCCCTGTGGGCCGGGGTAGCCTCCCACGGGCCATCCAAGGGGCCACTTCACGTCCTTCTGCAGCAGCGTGTACTCCTGCTCCAAACCATACCTGCCCCCACGCCTATCAATCCCTCATCTCCACCACCGCCACCTCTCACTCACCAACCTCTCCAGAGAATACCGTTGAATATTAACGTCAACTAAACCTGGCTTCGAAGAAACATCATGCATATCTGTGCAAGAGCCCTGAGTTCGAAAATATCTTGCATGGAATAACCGCAGAGGAGGTGAAGCATATGGCAGTTCGTTTTCTTTACAAAAAATGGTAGTGAGAAGGTTCTACAATTCCATGGAAGTTGCGGAATGGTCCACAGGAAAGAAGTAAAAAAAATATATGTGCATGTCATCCTGAATAACGGCTCCGCTCAGCTTGACACTTGTAACAGCGAAATTCAGAGCAGTCTGGTGCAATTGGAACGAGAGGGTGCAGGTTGAGGAACAAAGAGAATGAAATACTCAAGAAAAAAAAACGGCAATCACCACAGTGAAACGAACCAGAAACTGAAACCACGACACAAACTCAGCGCAGTTTTGAACACACACCAGGGCTCCTCATCCACGACCTCTTTCTTGGAGAAGATTTCTGCAGCGGCAGCCCTCTTGTTGGTGGGGATAGGCACGCCCTGAGGCGTGTACGCGTCGCAAATCACCAGAATGTTGTTCCCACGCCGGAATGGGTCTCGGAAGATCGCTTGTGGGTAAAGAATCACCTCGCTGTCCTCGCCGGGCGCCTGACCGGTACTCGACCCGTCATAGTTCCACTTTGGCAGCAGCTTCGGGTCGGTGACAGGCTTCGGCAACGTCCTGGCCTTGGACCGCAAGTCCGTCCCGGATCCACCAATCCAAATGTATTCAGCGATGATCTCCGAGGTAGACTCCTCCAGAGATATGTGTAGCAGTTCGTCGAGGGAAGTCATCGTCTCCGCACACGCAAACTAAAACCACCCAACAACAACAGGCTGCGCTGGATTCAACAAGAGAGCAGCGGGAGGCAGTGCGAGCTGGAAGAGAGACGGACTGGCCGACTGACTGATTGAAGCGGTGGTGCCGGTGCTCGCTACTTGTGCCTCTCAGTGGCCTAAAATGGTGCCGTGCGATGCGGGCCATCGGGCGACGGGGATGCATCCACAACAGAAGAAGCGGCATCTCCCATGTCGTCGCCGATCGGAGCGTGGAAGGCTGAATCAATCCTCTACCTCCTCGGAAAAATTCCCCTCCCTCGCTCCCTTCCTTCCCTGGACCCTGGAGAGATGAATAGAATAGAATAGAGCGTGTGACCCAGCCAGCCCACACTCCGATGATGTCTCCTGCGGTGCTCCTCTATATTTCTTCTATAAGGAGATCCATCCCTTCTTTTTTTTTTTTTTTTTTTTTTTTTTTCTCTGATACAAATGAAATATGATTTCATTGCAATAAGAAAAGTTACAACCGCTCAGCTGTATGCAGCCTGAGAGAATCAGATGGGTTAGGGTTTTTGTTTTTGTTTTTGTTTTTTTTTTTTGTAAGATATGGATGAGCATAGTATGATGGTCTATGGTCTATCAAGTCTATAGGGGGTTCAAGGATAATTGTGGTGTCTGAAGGGGTGGATGTGAAGGTTGGTACACAAAACCTTGAATGGGCTCTGCTAGGGCCCATCCAGGGGAGCTTGCAACCATAGTAGCAAAGACATTGTTATTGCACCATTTACAATAGAAGTCCTATACTAGCAAGGCTTTCTTTACTAGGCAATGTAGATTGTGGAACTTGACATGCTTCTAATCTACACACATGTAGTTGATAAGGCCTAGCCAAACTCACTAGAGCAATTTTGCCATGAGCCATTGGATTTGATTGAAAGATGTGTCATTGCATTTGATCTAGAGGGTCCATATATAATAGTTCATAAAGCCATCCACATTTGATTGAATTTGAAGAACTTTTGCGGTTTGTAGTTAGAAAAGATACCTTGTTTTTAGGTAAACAAAGGCTAAGGGTCCTATATATTGTAGAGGTGAGAATGACGTCCATTATGTAGATGCTCCATTGTCAAGTCCTATGCGCATATGGGCATTTCCAAAATCTATGTAAGAGTGATTTGTTGAGTAGACTAGGTGGTAAGTATCAATTGTCGGATTAATACAATCTTGTTACATATTCATTGTGACCATCCAATGCCACACTTACCACAATAAACTATCTTCTTTTAAGGTGTGTCTTAAAGCCAAAACTAAGGTCTATCAAAGGTGAAAGTTGAAGGACAAAATCCCTCGCCATTTGTGCTCAATAACATTTGAGGGGAAATAACTTTATTAAAGAAGGCTATAGCCCAACTTAGATAAGAAGTTCATGAAGGGAGATAGAGAGACTTTCTTAAGTCATTGAAGGCAATTTGGGATCTGACAATAATTTATCTATTTAACCATAAAAAAATAAGACAAAGGATTTTTATGGATTACAAATAAAAGAAATTACATGCACCTTCCATAGACATCTCTAAAGAATATGTTTGAGGCTCTCATTTATATGGCTTCAAAATGAATGGAGAGAGATGAAGATGGAAGAGGATTTAACCAAGCATTGAGAGACTTGTTGAACCTTGAATATAGAAGTCCAAGAGGTTATATGCAATTTTTTTGGAAGGTCATTGATAAAGAGGTTCATCTCTTAGATAGACTAGAAGACAACCAAATCTTATGGACATCCAACAAGAAGATTTTAAGAATATTTTAGAAATATTTTATTATATTTTAAAATATTTTAAAATATTCTAAAAAGATTCTAAAAGATTATTAGAATATTTTAATAGATTATAAAAAATTCTAAAAATATTAAAGAAATTATTTGAGTAGCTTCCTAGGATTGCTTCATCTTCATGCAACATGAAAACTTCTTATGAAGCTTTTTAAGGTTGCTTTATCTTCTAGCAATATGAAAACTTCTTAACATTGCTTCATCTTCAAGCAACATAGAAACTTCTTGAAAAGCTTCATAAAACCTAATATATATAAGAATTGAAGCTAAAAGGATTCTTAGTCTCAACAAGACATCTTGTAAAGTTCTAACTTACTTTTTTGGTATTGATCTTGAACTCATCTACTTTAATTGAGTTCTTATTAGCTTTTATATTGAAACTTTTTAATTCAACTTCTTGTTTGGTCTTATGTATAGTATATCCATGATACTAACAATTGGTCATTAGATGCCCTATAGAAACAATCCATCTACTTTTGGTCACCCCCAAATGATTGATTGGAAAACAATAATTTTTCTTAGAAAGTTTTTAGATCTCAAATTTTTATTTTTAAATAACATTTATAATAAGTAAGAGACCTATCATGGATACACTATACATGAGTTCAAATAAAAAGTTAAAAGAAGAGTTTCAACAAGAAAGCTAATAAGAACTTGATTAAATTAAATAAATACAAGATCAATATGAAGAAAGGTCAATTAGAGCTTCAAGAGATATGTTGTAAAGATTGAGAATCCTCTCAGCCTTGACTATAATATATACTAGGTATTAAAAAGCTTTTTAAGAAGTTCCCATTTTCTTTGAAGATGAAGCAATATTAAGAAGCTTCTCAGATAATTTCTTTAATTTTTATAGAATTTTCTAAAATCTTCTATAATATTCTAAAAATATTTTTAGAATCTTATAGAATCTTTTATAACTTAATAGAATATTTTTAGAATATTTTTAGAATATTTTTAGAATCTACTTGTTGGATGTTGATAACATCACTTGTTCTTCGAATTTTGAGTTTTATAAGGAATATTGGTTTTATATCTACTTTTTTTTTTATTATATAACAAATAAAAGTTATCCTAAAATAAGTTTAGGTTATTGAAGATAGCATCGATGAAGCTCCTATACTATTTGTAACATATTAATTAATTATTTTGCTAATTTCTACGTATCCTAATTGATGTCATAGCCATTCCAATGAATAAAATATTTCAACCTACCTCATCTTTGCTAAGAATTAAGGATTTTTTCTACATCATATTACACATGATTATCTATTTTAATAAAAGATATTATTAATTATATTCTTTTTGAAATAATTGATTCTAAATAAGCTTCTGAAAGAGAAACATGAAGATTGAATGTTCCTTTATAAATGAAAGTAGTTGCAACTGATAAGTCTAGTATTGATTTTGTTTTAAATACAAAATGGTCCTAGTCTTCAATAGTCAAATTTATTATAAGTTTGATTGATCTTAATATTTAAGAAGCCATATTTTATCTTCAACTTGAAAAGTAAGAGATTTTTTTTCTAAATTTGTTTAAAAATGCTTTGTAAGAATCTTGAGTTGCTTATAAATGGAGCTTCAAAGTTATTTAGAGTTTTGAAAATTATTTTGCAAGATCTTCAGCTGTTGGATATTCATTCTTTCATATATAGTGATTCAAAAAGCTATTTTAATGTTGATATATTTTGAAAAGAATGGTGTGTTATAAATGAATTATAATAAATAAGGACATGTGGTTTGTATAGCAAATAAAGTACTTCTTTATAACTACCAAATGAACATAGGATAAAAAGAATCCATTAGATATCTGTAGAGCTATGACCAATATAATTTAGAATAGCATTGAAACAATTTTTTGAGTGTAGTGTCTAATTTTTGGATTCTATCAATTACTCAACATTACAACATTCTATAATCATCAAATTTACTATAAAAATATTATTACTAATTTAATAATATTATTAATTTTTATTAACAATTATATAAGCACCATTCTTAATTACAATTTTTAGCATGGATATATTCCAAATTACTATATTTTAGAACCTTTTAGAATCTTCTATAAATTTTTAGAACTTTCTAGATACTTATAGAATCTTCGACAAATTTTTAGAACTTTCTATATACTTATAGAATCTTCTACAATCTTTTAAAAAGTTCCATAAGCTTCTAGAAAACTTCTAAAAGCTTTATAAGCTTATTTGCCAAATCAACATTGAAAAGGTTGAAAATACTATTGAAATTGCTAAAAACCTTAATAATATTATCTATAATCTTGTGTCAATTCAAACCATTTGAAATGTTTTGAAGGAATGGAATATAAAAGTCGTCGTGAAGAAAAAAAACCATTGCTACTTACTTGCTATCGAAAAAAAATACTTGGATTTTGCTCTAAAGTATAAAAAATGGATTATAGAGAATTAAAAGAAGATTATTTGGTCAAATGAGACAAAAATCAATAGATTTGGATTAAATGGCAAAAAGTAGATGTAGAAATAAAAGACTCAGTCTTTGCTTAATAAGAAGATCTAAGAAATAGTTAAGCATGGAAGTAGAAATATAATGGTATGGAGTTGTATGGAATAGAATGGGATTGGAAAGATGACAAAGGTTGAAGAGAGGATGGATGCTAAGCAATTTATAAAAATTCTTGAAAGAATTCTATTCCCTAGAATTAAAGAATCTAGTATTTTTAACAAAGAGGTGATTTTTCAACAAGATAATGATCCTAAGCATAATTCAAAACTAGCATGGAAGTGGTTTGATCATCATAAGATTAAAGTAATGGATTGGCCTATTCAATCTTTTGATCTTAATCCCATTGAATATCTTTGGGAGCACCTTAAATGTCAGCTCAATACTTGATAGATAGAATGAAAGGGAGTTTGGAAATTATGGGAAAGAATAGCTACAGAATGGAATAATATTGAAGTAGTTTTATACCAAAAGTTAATGAAAAGTATGCCTAGGAAGTTGAAAGCAATTATCAAGGCGAAAGGAGGTCCTACAAAGTGCTGATATTTAATTGGATACTACACTCAAAGAAATGTTTTAATATTATTTCAAATTGGATTGGTCATAGCTCTACAATTTTCTAATGGATTCTTTTCAACATGGACTCATTTGATAGTTCTAAAGGAATACTTTATTTGCTATACAAACCATGTGTAATTATTCATTACAATTAATCTCTTATATAATATTCTTTACAAAATATGTCAATATTGAAATAATTTTTTGAGTTTTTGTACCTCTTCTTAATCATCTTTGAAGTTTTGAACTCCATGATCAAAGATAGAATAGTAAAG